CACCGGCCGACCACCATCATGCTGAAGTGCTTAGAAAAGCTTATAACAAACAAGATCTGTGGGCACTTGATTGAGCACAATCTAATTAGAGCAGAACAGCATGGCTTTCTTAAAAAGAACTCGTGTGCTTTTTAGATGGGATTATCCGAGGTTTTGCTAGTGAGATGGTGGTGGTGGACTTCAGTAAAGCCTTTGACACGGTGAATCATTGCTTTTGTTGTAGTGCCACTGAATGTACGGCTAAACTGCTGCTCCCTTGCGGCTGACTGTTACCAGAAATGTGTTATGGTTTCCGCTGACCTTGCAAATAACCTACCTGAATCTGCTGTACCGCCCCCCAACCAGTTCAATTCGTCACGAAAATGAGAACACCAAGACCAGCCGGTCCGAGGGATCCGGATTCTGATTCCGATTCGTAATGTATGAGAGCATGGTGCAATAACTAAGTTGTAGGAAACCACTAACAACAAAACTGTAGATGCTAATTAATATTAATAAACACAACTCAAACGGTTCAACTTCATGGTCCGACTTGCTGTCGGCCGGTGGCCGAGTGGTCTGCGCGTTTGGTTTACAACCATAAGGTCACCGATTCGAATCCGCGTAGGGGTGGGCGTCCTCGCAGTATACTTAGTCCGCGCGTGACTGGTGGTGGTCGCGCGGCAGCGAAGTGCCGTTACGGCGTACAGCTGACACTCATTGTTTTGCTGTTGATCCCTCATAGATTCGCATTTTGATCTATATTCGCGTCCGATCTCTAATTGTGGATCGATCCACTGTTGTGGCACTGCTCTCGGCCTGAACACTGACTCTCCGTAACATCTCCATCGCACAAAAGACACTCGATCTCCGTCATGGGTCCAGGAGCATTCTGATGACGTGTCTCCACACCCGATCAGTGCATCATCGTGGCTACAAGTCCGTTCCCTTTTGTGGTCAATGGTCAAAGCACATTAGGTCCCCTCTGGGCCCCGAAGTGCATGTTTCACCGGGTAGAGAACTGTTCTCTTTAAACGATAAAGCTCCTGGTCAGCCATTGGTGTTGCAAGGGCTCTCCGAAAAGCTGCTGTATACCTCTCTCGCAGGTCCTCAATGACCACTGTTTTGGGGGCTGTTGGTTTGTGTATCTGGACCGTTGCACAGAGTCGCAGACCCTTGCATTTCGGTTCGCAGGCAATTTCTCAGTCTAGAGACAAAGGACCTCTTAATGCACTTTGATCCCTGCGGAGTGCGGCAACAATCGCATTGGGGGACTTTTGCTTCGGCACGTTTTGATTCACATTGTGGCCTCCATTAGCTGTGTGGCGGATCGAGATCACATCCGCCATTCGAATTTTCAACCTTTTTGGTGTCTAATCCAGAGTTGAGCTGCTTGTAACTTTCATCTGCAATGCGCTCTGATGTGAGTTCTGGTTCCAGTTCACATTTTGCTTGAATGTTCAACTTCTGTGTCAGCAGCTCTGTCAATTGTCGCCGTGATTCCTCAAAGATTGACTACTGGACCTGAAGGAGCGTCTGCATTTTCTCCGAAGCGATAGCTATATACTGGAATGACAGTGTCCGAGTGAAAGTCTCGATCCTACGCAGCTCTGAGGCCCCGAACTTTTGCTGCTGTTGAAGCAAAATAGCTTTCAGCTCTTCTGTTGAGATAGCCATCTTGAATCGGTACCCCACCTCCGTCGCCCAATTGTTGTAACCCGGTGCTAAAAGCATGGGCACACTTCCAGAATCTATGTATCTGACCAAGTTGGGCTACAGGCCTGAAGTCGGACAACCGTCCTACGTCAGCCCATGATGCCAACTGCGAACTCTGCTATGGCCATGACGGAGTGTTCAGTACAGTGATCGATAGCGGTGGATCGGTGATCATGGTAGTTAGGTTACTTATGATTGTTCTAAGCATAATACCTCCCTGCCAACAAAAAGTATTAGTTGCTCGACATTCCTGAGGGTCTTCTGACATTTGAGCCATTGCAACTGCAAGGGAACTGGAACTGCTACTGTCCCTTATTTGCAGTTCGGAACATTTGCTGTGAGCCATTGTTGCTTTCTGTGTCAACTGAAGGCTTTTCGATATTCTGGCACCTGCCGACTGGAGAGGCAAATGTCCAGTGACTCTCCCGATCATTCGTAATTGCCTGAGGATGCCGGCTGAAAATATACTTGTCGAGTGACGGTCTCGATCATGATTAAGTGCCGAATCTCCACTTGGCTGGACAGATAAGTGTCTGATGAAATCCAGATCATGTGTAACCGAGCGGCTCTAAATTACTCACGTTCTTGTGAAAAATATTATATTCCGTCACTGTAAAAACACCGATTCGGTGGATCGATGTGCTCTTTGGGACTGTCTACTCGGGAAACCTGTGCCCAAGAAATATGTAAATATTATCCGAGCGCTATACGCGCGTAGCTTGGGCAGAGTGAGGGCTTACGGCAGACTGTCGCCGCCCTTCAATAGATGCATTGGTGTGAGACAAGGATGTTCGCTGTCACCTTTCCTCTTCAACTTCGCCATTGACGAAGTCATGGAGTTTGCGTTCACAGAACATGACTTGCAAGGGGAACGACTTATTGACTTGGAATATGCTGATAATATTGCCTTAATCTGTGATAGCTCCCAAATGTACCAAGCGGCATTGGACAGATTGGCATTAGTTGTCAGCCGCTTCGGGCTATGCTTCGCACCCTTGAAGTGCATAGCTTTCCTCCAATATTGACAGGGACCGCCTGCGTTGACTCTTGGTGGGGTTCAGTTAGAGGTCGTGCAGTTGTCTCAGCACCGGTGGAATCGAAGACGGGATGACCAACCGTATAGCAAAAGTTCGAGGCGCTTTTGTTAACCTTCGTCATCTGTGGCGCCGGCGCGAAATCACTCTCTCCCTGAAGGTTAGAGTGTACAATGCAGCTGTCGGTTCAACTCTCCTTTACGACTGTGAAACCTGGTCCATTAGATCAGAAGACACAAGGAGGCTTGTTCCACCCGACCACCAGTGCCTTCGCGGCTTGCCTCCCATCTGGTGGTAACACCGCGTGAGCGACGAGCATGTACGACGCCTAGTTTGTGCCACAGGAACAGGAAACTAACTGCTCAGCACCGTTATTTCACGCGCCACGCTCCGATGGCTAGGCCACGTGTTGCGCATGCCAGCCTACTGACTCCTGCGACGTGCGTTGTTTGCACGCCCGTGAATGTGGATGGAAGAAGACGAGGGAAGGCCAAGCGATGCCTTGTTCATAAGCAATGAAGGCCAATACTTCGACGTTAGTCTCGGTTGGAGCTTCTCAGCTCCCAGTTTGATGTCCGAAAGGCGATGAACACGCTTGGATAGATACACTAGTTGACATTGCTAGGAGCCGACCTCAATGGCGTTTGCGTTGTGAGTTTCTTTATTCCTCTCCATTCCTTTTAGCCTCCCACTCCAACCGCGATCTCATTTTTTAGCTTAGTACAAATTTTGCACAACAATTTTTTGCGTCATAGTAGCTGGCTGGTGGGTTTCAGGAACGATGCCCATCCGTTACTGCTAGCTCAGCTGGCGTGCTTCTGTTGCGTATTTTCTCCTTTCTCGTGCATTGCGGCACAACAACGGAAGTTTTTTTCCACCTCTAGCTAAGGCGTCTAATGATATTGATGAAAGCTCTGCCACGTTTTGAAAGTGGCTGACTTTTGGCAGTCATCAGTCTTTAAGCCCTTCAATCGCTGACTGGTGTGCTTGAGTCAGCCATCGGTGTGCCTTTTGTATATTTCTAGTGATTGAGAATGGTCTTTACGCCCTAACGTCTTTCTTTGTTTCAACAAGCGAATCTCACGTCTACTCTGTTTCAGGCTAGGAAACGCTTCTTTTATGTCCTACGTAAGTTTTTTTTATTCCGCCGCTGTTAGTACCACAACAGGCTTATTGAATTGTCCATCGAAGCGCCCTGCCAAACATTCAAGTCGATGTGTCTGGGGATGGTGTGACCATTCTTCGTTCTCTTCTGCTGTGGGCTTTCCTGATCACTTGCTTGACTTTCTCTCGGGCTCTTGCCATTCACCCACTCTTTCTTTTTATTATAAGGCTACTGGTCAGACTTTGTTTCTAAATGTTACAGGTACACCCTATCACAAAGGTTACAGAACAGTTTGTTTATCTTTTTCGACTGTAGATGATGACATCTGTAGTCACGATCAAATGCAGGTGAGTTTTGTCACATTTACACAGTTTTTGCCGGAGGTCATTTGGTTTTAGGATGTGGTTTGCTTGCCAGTGACCAGAAGCTGTGCCCTTCCAATGTTAGAGCCAACCCGTGGTAGTTATGTCCCATACCAATCGAACAGGTCTTATAACCCAAAACTCTCATGGCTAAATTCACTGATGAAAACGATAATGTAACTGAACGTCTCTGCTCTTGAACAGTTGACCTATCTGGCACTTATGGGTTTACAATCATTTATTAAGTACCACTCAGTGTGGCATCACATTGAGACACAGTCTCCTCACTCATTGTGATGGAAAGTAGTAGAACTTTGAAGTTAAATTTGGGAAGCACGCTGTGTGGTTGGGTTGCGACTCGCAACCTCTATTGAGACCTCGGCTCACTTTGAGGTGAACCTCGGTCATTCCGATCTCGAGGACCGTATCCTGAATGGATATATTTGGGTGTTGCTCTTCCCAACACTTTGCTTTGCTTCCGGATGAGAAACTTTCTCTTGCGTTACGATTTTGCGCACCGATGTTTTATATACAGTAAGACGGTACTCATCTTGTCTTCACTCATCGCTTCTTGCTGTCGCACGTCGCATTCTCACCGTTCGGACTGCATTTTGCTGTTTGGCTCTGTAGTCACCTGATTCACTGATATGCTCTTCCTCTTTCAGCTCATTGGAATTCTTCCAACCTTTTCTGTGATCTCTGCACATAACACATGAGTTCTCTCAAGCTGCGATTGTAAGTCATCTGCTGCCTATCTCGTAATATGTAATTAGTCCTAGTAACCAGCATTGTACAGAGGTTATTATGTGCGGTTATCTCTTCAAGTCGCCTCCGATGCGGGAACTAAAAAAGAAGGAACTATTCTTCCACGGTGTATGTTTTTTCGTATCGTTCTTACGACATTATCTTGGTCCAGCTAGCATGCACGGGAGGAACATCGAAGTTTTTTAAGAAGGTTCGTTATTTATTTGTTAAGATCACGTTGTCACTTATCGGAGGATAAGGTACATTTGTTTATGTTGGTTACATCTATCACCGATTTTTCCTCTTTGCTTTTTCCTCTGGTTGAACTTTTCCTGTTCACTATGGGGCATTCGAATGACGGTTTTCCGTTCATCTTTCGTGGGAGTAAGCATTTGCATACATTCGGACTTGCAGTGCTCGTTGCGTTCCTTGACATTTTATCGCTTTCTTATGCTATACTCTTCCGTATACGGTCTTTTCTTCAGTTCCTGGTTTGTTCCAAGACCTTATTTTCTTTTGCCTATCCTAAAAAACTCACTGTCAGAGCATTTTCCACTCTTCACTGTTGCATGCTCAAAGCCGCTGTATATCGTCCATTTTCCCTCGGTTCTTCAAGCACCTTGTAGGTTTTCTAACTTATCGCTGCTTTTTTCTTGAGACTTACTTCGCCATCTAACATTGCTGTTGTTATTCCCTCTTTTAATTTTATCTTGTTCTCTCGTTAGTCATTTTGCTTCATCGCTGCACATCTTTTGGACTTCGTCAGCTTATTTGTCGGTATAACTACGGCGAGACTGGGCCTAAAAATATTGCAGTAATTTGCGTAATATCATGATTTGCTGAGTTACACTGGGTGGCACTTTTCAAACGTTTTCCTAGCCACTCATACCAGACAGGTCATTAAATGGTTGTCAGACTGACTCAATCTCAGCATTCTTTTCTCTGGAAGTTGGGACAGGTCGATGGCGATTTTCCTTCTAAACCTAGCTATATGGAGCGATAGTCTACGGACATAAACCCTGCCCAATCAGCATAGATCACAAGCGCTCTGGGTTTTTTCTGGCGATAGGAGAGTACCACCCTTACTCTTTGATCTGCTATCCTTTGCCTTAAGCCATGTAGCCTCTAGTCGGTAGGATGAACATCTGTTGAACTCCATCTGATGCTGGCCGTAGCCGCAGATGCGCAATATGCTATGGTTGAGAACATAACTAATATTTCTGGCCTCAGACGGCTCCTAATGGATTTCTACAGCCACACTGTGGATCTGGGCGTTCTCCTCGTTGCCATATAGGCCAACCTGTTCAGTCAAAGGTTGGCAGTAGGGCACTTGAAGAAGCCGCTCTCGGGATGGGTAGAGGGAAAGTATCGCCTGTCTACATGATGCCATCGCCAGTAATCTTTCGCTCCTCTTGTGTTTCCTTTTCGCGAACTTTCTCGTCATGTTTGCCAGTAAGAGACCACTTCTGCGTTCACAAATCGCACTGGCAAAGAGGCGGCGTCACTTTTCGTTAATATAACACAGTTATACACTAAGTTCTTCGATCTCCGCACACTAAAATAAAACGGCCAACAAGCGGGACTGGAACTTGTTTTGTTCCGTGTTTCTGAAACACTGATACAGGACAATAGCGTCTTAATCCATTTAGGGTTACCGAACACAGGTTCAGATCTTGCGGCTGCACAATTCATATCTCCGATGACAGACAACAATCCACTGCATTTACGATGTTGGAGTCTCTCTCAGTAGACGTGTGCAGATTGACCTTGACTGGATCTCAATGTACCTCGGAAGATGTCTCATTCAATCTTGAGGCTCCATCGGGTTTAATAAGCAGCTGCTGAAGACCAACTGCGCTTGTCTTTTTTGTCTGCGCTCCTGCCGGCTGAAGTCTCGAGGCTGTCAAAGATGAAATCTGTCAACAGCTTCCTTCTGTAATTTGAGTGGTCGAAATCCATGACCATTGCGGACGACGTGAAAATCCAAGCTGCTTATCCGTTAAAATCAAGACATTGCTTCCGCTCAGTCCGATGGCCTAGTAATATCAACCACGGACTCGTAGGAGTAGGGTCGCCGTTTCTGGCTCCGCAGCGAACAGATAAAATGTGCACTGCTAACGATTCCTAAGCCGGATGAAATGGCTGTCCAGCGATGTGCAATGGCCGTCTCATCAACTGTGGTGGTTGTGACAGATTTCCTTTTGCCTACTTAGCTGCACGCGACCTCAAAGTATCCCATCCCACACACGCGATCGATGTTGCTTGGTAGCCAAGCGTCAGCTCGAAGTACAGACATACTGCTGTTCCTCTCTAATACTAGACTCAAATCCCTCATTTTACTATTATCTAAGCATCCTTGCTTTGTCTCAATGTGTTTGGTGACCGGTAAAGTGTACTCTTGACATACGGATGTCGGCGGGTGGCCGAGTGGTCTGCACGCCTCACTTGCAATCATAAGGTCACTGGTATACTGGTATACCCAGCCCACACGCGACTGGTGTTGGTTGCGCGGCAACGAAGCGCAGTTACAGCGTTCAGCTGACGATTCATTTATTGACATACTCATGACATACTCATGGACGCTGCATTAGCATGTCGTGAAGTTGTTCGCAAGGATACACGGCACTCTTTTCTTCCGAACTGCATTTCACAATACGTATTGCTTTCAATGTTTAAACGCTAAACTCCGTTGTCCAGAATCTACTTAGATTCAGTTTGGAAAAATGTTGAGTGCGGCGTCTGAGGCACAAGTTAGTTCATTCCCACAAAATCGGCAACCAAAGCTTTAAACGTCATCTGGGGAGAAGGATGTGGGAGTTTTATCCAGGTTCGAATCAGACTGAGGCGGCCTAAAGGAGGAGCGTCCT